TTAAATCTTTAAAAAAAAATGCTTGAAACTATTGTTTGAAGCAAGGTACAATTCCCCTATGATGAATGCTATCATTATGTATATATAAAATGTACCAATAAAAAAATTCAAGGAAAAAAACAGAAAAAAAAAAAAATCCCTGGTATTGCATGCCATGCGGGGGCCCGGAACCCCACCCAAAACCAGGTACAGTGGCTTACACCTGCAATCCCAGAGCTGGGGGAGGCTGAGACAGGAGCATCACTATGAGTCTGAACTATGCAGTGAAACCCTGTATCAAATTTAAAAAATAAATATGTAAATAAAAGTAAGTAGAAAGGCGATAAGGGGCCCTGTGTCGGCCCTGCCCTGGGGCATGCTGAGAAGACAATTGAGACTGGGCGTGGTGGTATGCCCCTGTAATCCTAGCTCTTGGGAGGCTGTAAACAGGAAGATCACTACAAGTCCGATCTAGTAGTGAGACCCTGAACACCCTATAGACCCTTCCCCTAAAATAAAAAAATAGAAAAGAAAGAAAGGAGATAAGGGAACTGCAGAACAAACGGTTTATATTTTAACCTAGTTGATAAAGTCAGTTTTGCTTTAGCTCTCTAATGTGTAACGAGACAAACACTAGGTAAAAGATAAACAATTCAAAGAATATCCTAGATCATCTAGCCCAATGATAACCTAAAGACACATACATGCCTATGATGTGTCTCATTCCTTGAGTTCCTGCACTCTCTTCTCTGAGCATGTACTTTTTGATTCTGCATAATAAATCTGTCAGTACCTCTCATACTGATGCATTCTGAAATGCTTTTCTGCAAGAACCTACTCAAAGTGAATTGAGGGTGCCACCTTGTTGGGTCCCATCCAGTGACAAAAAGACTAGTTCATCTTTCAGCTTATTTATTTACAAATACTGCACTTGGGAAAATCACTTTAAACCTTCTTAGTCTGTAAAAAGGAAATAATATTCACCTCACAGATCACAATAAAATGACATGTGTTTAGAATTTTAAAAATTACATATAGTTATTACTAGTAGTATTACCAGTATCTTTTAGCTGTTAAATTCTTCTGAGAACCACACAAGGATATTAATGTCCTGCCAGAAATTGCAGGTTTGGCTAGTCTCTCTCCAATTCTGGCCATACAAAGGGGTTTTCTTGAGCAGACAGGGTTACATGCACAGAGGGATGCACAGTAAGAACTGCTGTATGACGTCCTGAGAACCCAGACAGTGTCATTTATTGCTCAAAGACTGTGCTACTCCAGGCCAAATTTAAGCCAACTACTGAAAAGCTGGGGCAGAAATAAAAAGGACCAATAAGCAGATACTACTCTGTCCAGCTTCCAATGTAAAGCAAACCCTGTGGGTACAGCATCTGCAGATTCAACCAGTTGAAGACAGAAAATAATTTTTAAAAACAAAACGATGTCTGTGTTGAAAATGTAATCTTTTTTGGTCATTATTCCTTAAACAATATATAATTATTAGATATTAAAATAACCTACAGATAAAAGTACACAGGAGAAAATACATCATATACAAATCCTATTCCCTTTTATAGGACTCTAGCCTCTCAGACTTTGGTATTCATGGGTGATGTATACGGTGTTTATGTCCTGAAACCAACACCGTGAGGATACAAAGGGAGGACCATAACTTAAAATATTATTTAGCTAGGGGCCAGGGAGATGGCTCAGTAGGATAAGCGCTTGACTGGCAAACGCAAGGATCTGAGTTCAATCCCCGGTTCCGCAAAAATAAGTAAATAAAAGGTCATCTTTGGGGCTGGTGAGATGGCTCAGTGGTCTAAAGCACCTACTTAGAACAAGCCCAGCAAAGCACAGGGACCACGGTTCAATCCTCAGCACCACATGCCAGCCAGCCCCGCCCCCTGGTGGGCTGAGCTGGCCACACACACACACACACACACAAAATAAATGTTAAAAAAAATTAAAAAAAAATGTTTAAACTAAAGCATGTACATATATACAAAAATGCTACTAAAAGACTCCTGATAGAAATGGCAATCTCCTGATCCCAGAGCTTTATTCCAAATATTTTTTTTTTTCTTAAATAGTGGTACTAACCAGGGCCTTGAAAATGAGCTACAACTGAAGACCTTATTTTTATTGTTGAGAATAACTAAACCGTGAAACTCGACATCCTTCCGCTCCAGACTCCTACAGGGCTGGGAACGCAGGCATGCACTACCACATTCAGCTTACTTTTAAGCACTTTGAGTAGTTTTTGTGATCATCTTTCCATGATTTGAAAGGTTATGCCAAACATTCCTGCATCCTCTTTCCACAACCACTCAATAAAAAATTTATTTTATTTTTATTTATTTATTTTTTGCGGAATCAGGGATTGAAGTCAGGCCCTTGCACTTGCCAGGCAAGCACTTATTCTATTAAACCATCTCCCTGACTGCTCAATAAAAAATTTAACCAATACTATATATTATTATAAGTACATAAACAGTATTCACCAGTGAACCACACACTGTATCTATGCCTTCTTATACAATATTTTTTCCTCTGAGGTTAACTGCTTCCTGCAATCTGAATCAACCAATTCACAAACAATGACCAATTTTATCACTAATTCTTCCATAATAATCAAATATC